GTTTGCTAACTAAACCAGCACGGATAGACTGTTCACCCACACTTCCACCTTCCTGGGATATCCTCAGGTTTGACTCCTCGTAGCATAATGGCTGACAGTCGAAGATCTCCCGAAAAGATTCCATCCAAACGAGCTCCACAAAGAGTTGCAATAGAGCTTGCTACGTCCTGCCTCCATAGGTGAAAAGGAAGACAAATAACTCACACAATCACCCCATCTATAATGGAAAAAATCTTTGAGTTTTGACAGAGGAGGCCATTTGAACACAGTCACATAACCATAATCAACTTGGAAGTGTAAGGTTCCATAATCTAACTCACTTTCAAGAGGCTCTAGTAAGGCCTTGCAACTTTCATAAGGGGTTAAGATGAAGGTAGACTTCAGCCTCAGCATTAGAACCAAAAAAGCAGCCACTATTCTCCAGTTGCTTACCTGTTTCTTGATTTCAACCATACACTTGTTTCCCATTCGTCTGACTCAGTGTGTACTATCAGGTTGGAATTGCTTGCATCAAGTACGAATCTATGAGAGAGGAAGTATGTTGTTTCAGGAACTACATCAGTGCATCTTCTCGAATCGTCCCTTAAAGGCTCTCTCCAGAAAGCTTTTTTTCTTCTATTTTCATCCTCAACAACCCCTCCTTTAGAGAACCAGCAATGTCTTTCCAGCCTCAATTTCCTTTCCCTCCAGGAAGGCATACCAACTGTTTTTCCTGTTTTGAATAGAACTCGAAGAGTGCCATAAATGAGCTTTTTGCATTTCTCTTACATTCTACCACAAACCTCCTAACATTGTTTGTCAATAGCTCTTTCGAAACTTCTTACTTTCCTTTCAAACTTGCCTCCTGTATAAAGTTCTCCAGCCACTCGATTGCCTCTAATCCAACCAGAGGAACTGTTGCCTTCTTTGCCTCTCTAATTTTCAGATTTTGAAGCCCCATGATCCTCAACTCCTCAAACAGGAACATTTTTGCCTCTATCTTCAAGAGCTTCCTCCACTGAGTTGCCTCCACAAATCCTTCTTCCATATATATCTTTTTTTTTTTTGATCAATAACACTTTCATTAATCATCAGTAGAAAACTTACAGGAGGAAGATAAACACACTTATCTTCCAAGAGTCACTAAGAGCCTCATAAAAGAAAGAAAAAAGAAGAAAAAGAGAAGAATACACTAAAGTTACATCTTGGCCCAAAACAGTGAATTCCTTTCTGCCCCTTGTTTAGCTAAACCGTCAGCTAGGGAATTAGCCGATCTTTTAACCCAACATG